GAAAGATTTCAGCTTTGAAACCTTAGGAGCCTCATGTGAGGTGTGGTGTACAAGCGTGAGATCGGTTTTTGAAGAGTAGGATCACCGATGTGTGGTGATGGTGTTTGATCCCATATTCTTGTGACATTGCTTGAAAACAGCAAAACTTAATTTTGCTAGCTTGCCATTTTTTTTGTCTTGGTGGGATCAGCTTGGTCACCTTTACGTTTACTGTCTGGGGTGCTGGCCAGGAGGGAGAGTCCGCAATGGTTAAACCAATGACCCAAACACTTATTGGTTACTGTAATAATTTTAATGTCATCACATAATTTTTCTTCGGGGTGTGACTATGTAACCTTCCAGGTCCATACGGAGCAAGGGAGCAGCTGGAGTCGAGAGGGCGCACAAAAGAATCCCACGGTTGTCTGCTGCATGCTCTGACTTGGAACCAAAGGTTTAAGTATGAGATGAGTCCCTTTCTTTTTTATTCGCATTTACGGTCCAACGTACAACTAGACTAGATGGGGGCATCTTGGGAAATGTCAGCTTAACAACAGACAAAATCATTCAACATGAAATCACATATATGATAACCCAAGATTTGTTTGTATGTCCTTCCTGCTTAGTAGGTTGGTGACAACATGGCCCATATAATTTGACGGTGGGGACCTGATATTTATGAAATAATCATGCATGTCTGACCCAACTGGGATGGAGTTGGGAAGTATATTGCACCTATGGTTTGGGTAGTTATGGGTCCACTTGGTGACTAGCCCCTTGTCCTACGCAGGTGTTGGCGCACCCATTCGATCTCCATTGTTTGACTATGTCATGGAGACCGCAGGTGGTGGTGAGCCCTGGCAGCACGGTCCTGATGAGTCTTCTGTTGCTTTCTTCCACCTTGGCAACTTGGCTTGGCCACTGACCACTGGTTTGTGGCTGCTACGTAAGGAATCATCCTTTGGCCGAGCTCGGGATACATGCGAAGTTGTGAAGAAGGACTTTTGATTGTTAGTTTGCTGTTTACTTTACCCGAGCTGTCCTGGTAGAATCAATTTCCCAAGTTGTTTTTTCAGGAGCTTGAATTCCATGGAGTTCACATGGATGGTCCTTCCAAAGGGCTGAAAAACACAGGATCACATGGACGTCACAAATCCAATATCAAACGGGATATGATCCGAAAGGTTGGAAATGTAGTGCCTTGGATGATGTCAATGTGGTTACATGCTTTAATTTTGGGACTTCAACCAAAGACTATCATTTTAGAATATATATGTATAATGTAGATTTGCTTTGGTGCCTAAGGTTCCATTTCACATGATCTCTGTCCCCTTGAAAGCTCACAAGCTGAAGAAGACAACGGTCACCAAGAATCTAATTTGCAATTTGTGGGTTTGCAAAGGTCCGCCTATGTCCACTTAAAATTATGTTATTCAATTTTCTGCTTGCTGATGTAAGGACCCTCCCTCTTGTGGCACCCGATGAACTTGTGCCATGGCTCTTGAAACACAACTTGATACCCCGTGACAAAGGGATGGACCAAGAGATCGAAACTTATTGGCGGTACTTAAGTTCCAAAGGGCTACCTGGCACAATGGACAAGCCAGGCACTGGTTGCATCCCTTTGTGGATTTGGGGGGATGACTGCAAGTTCAACAAGGATGGTGCCAAAGTAGTGATAGTTGCTATTGGCGCAGTGCTTCATAAAACCAGCTCGTCGAAAGACTCCGTGTTCCCCCTCTTCTCTTTCCAAGTCGACCCTCAGCTTAAAGAATGTTCAGTGGTAGTTTGTCAGGTATTGCCCAACCAATAGCTCCCAGAAAGTATCCCTTGATGCGGCCGAGGATCGCAGCTTGGGATATGAGACGTTGGAGGCCTTCTTGAAGCCAGTCCTTTGGCAGCAAAATAGTTGTGTCTGCCCAGTGTTGGTGAAGGGCCCTAATCAAGATGAAACCCTGAGCTGACCAAACATTTAGATTTATTTAGATTTGCTGCAGCTTCAAGGTTGCAGATTCTCTGAACAAACTTTACCATGGCGTTGAAGTACTTCTTGATGGAAAGCTGCAAACAGTGCGTGGCATGGTAACCCAATACAGGGGAGATTGGAAATGGCACAGAGCTACTGGTCAGCATCTATTAGAAGATTTGCACATAATGCATTATCACGCCTTTCCCAGCCCATAAATTCAACCAGTTTTACCTAAGGAATGGTTTCTCTTGTCAGCATGGTGGAGAGCCACAAACCTTTGCCATGCATGTTTCATGACGAAACATGATTTCTTGCGTGTTCCGAACCCACTTCCGGGACTTCCACGAAGAGATTTGCAAAACTTCATGGATCATGCTTTGAGAGATGATGCAGGGCCCAGACACTTGTATCTAAATTGGGTAATTGAGTTTTGAAATTGAAGGGTTTTTATAGCCTGTGTATGCTATGATTCCCACTTACCCCCTTTGCAATCCGTCTCATGTTGTTTGATAACCAAGGTCCCTTGATAACCATTGAGTCGTTCCATCCCTCTCATATTTCTTTCTGCTCGATGCATTCCATCAACCTTGGGTATGCCCTTTGGGTGTCAGCAAGTACGTTGGTTCTGCTGGTTGAGCAGTTCGGGGTTTGGGGTGGTGATGAAGTGGACCTGCCTGACCGGTACAAATCTGCATGGCTGCACTTCAATGGTTGGAGTGTTAGCCGTAAAATCCAGCAACTCAGATATCAAATTAAGTTGATATGTACTTCTCATGGCTGTGGCTTTGGGGGAATCATGAAACCATTGAACACACAAAGCTGAGGCATTCCCAAGGCATATTTTCCCAGAAATGTTGTTACAGTGCACAAGGAGGACATGCAGAACTCCATGCAAAAGCGTGGAATGTTTCTTGGCACCCAGGAACCATCATCCTGTGTCATGATTTTGACCAGACAGTCCTTGTTCTGAGTAAGTTTTCTGGTCCCATAGCTCTTTGGTCGCTCTTGCAAGCCTGTGCAGGCACGAGTCGTAGTGGGGTGGCTTTCTGATGTGATGGTACGCTATTCCCGAGAATTCCCGCGTGATGAAGGATTAGAGGATGGCTTTGACCCATATCATGTTGCCAACTGTGTGCAACTTGGGACATAAGCAGTGTGTTCAGCCGTGCAAGTGCTATATCAAAATTCCAAGTAGTCATGTTTTTATGCAATGGAAGGTACTACTTGGGAGAATGGTTCAATCTGGTGGAATCCCATGGCCGTTATCTGGATGACCTGCCCATCCAACTGACTTCAGAAGCTTGTGAAACTTGGGTTTGCAACCACATCCGTGAAGAATTGTGATCAAAAGTTGATTTTATCTATCTGGGTTACCCTCATCAAAAAAACTTAGGACCAAACATTGAATTCTTACTTCCAGCTGGCTGAGCGTGCCAAAGACTTGGGTCTTCCACTGTACCCAATCAAACCGAAGTGCCACGTGCCTTGTTCAATAGAAGTTGTGTGGCCATGTCCAGGGCTTGTGCGAAGCTTACTGAGTGTGATGTGGTTGATCTTGTGTTGTGGTACTTAGGCGTTTCAAGAGCTGCAATATGTACATTGCAGATACGGCACCTAGTCTTAAGATGTCTTACAAGATGTCGACCTGGTTGGTTGTGAAACATTGCATTTTTGTGTGATGCTGGGTTTGGATTTGAATCTTCTCAGGACTCAACTGCCGCTTCTTCCATTGTTTTACCCAAGAGGATTTCAACCGTTTTGCTATTCGCATAGCTGCCCGGGGTCATATAAACACCCTTGAGCTAGGGCTTATCCAGGGTGTTTATCTTCGACTGCGTTTTGGCAATGACACGTCCTCTGAAAGTGAGGAGGATGACTGACCATGCCATCTGAGATCAAAAAAGATAAGCGAGCGAGCTGATGGGGGGATCCCAGGAGACATGAGGTATTGCTATACAGCGTCTTCGGAAGTTATGTTCATATTCACAGTCTTTCTTGAAGAAGCTGTAAATACCACGTGTTTGGATCGTTTGGGTATATATATACACATACACATATTTATCCCGCAGTCATTCTGAATCATGTTTGGGATCTAACCCCCCTTATATTGGAGATACCACCATCTTCTAATACCATGAACAATTTGGTTGAGGTAGTGCAAAACAATCCAACCATGATGTTCATTATTGGAGTAAGTTATGATCCAGTTTCTAACAAGCTCAGAACTATTACCCTCTGGTAATTTAACATAGCTATTGAAAATTGCCATTTATAGTGGATTTACCCAGTAATAGCATGGTGGATCTTTCCAGTTCGTTATGTGGCTGTTTACCAAGCCGGGTAAACGGTAGTCTGCTAGTCATTTTTGTGGGATTTAACCGAGTACTCATCCAATTTCACGAGATATTCCCAGTGTGGCATGATTTCTTTGGCGCTCTGCGCCTGAAAAAAAAAAACACAACTGGAGCCCTCCAAAACACCGGTGAAATGGACGCGAAGGGGGCCCAAAGTCTGTTTCCGAATGCCTCCGAAACAGTCATTGAGGGTGACGAGAATGTTGTATCTGTAAACAAAAATGCACCTTAGCCTTAGCGATTCTCAATGTAAACCAGTTGATGAGATTTAAATATATGGTAGGTGCATGTGTGCGGTTGATCAGGTCGACTCAAAATCCCATGGATTTTGAGATTCACAAGACGCGGAGACAGGGAAGCCATGGCAATGAACATCAGTGTGGAGTTGATGAGCGGCAAGGTTTACCCCATGGAAGTGCAGCCAACCATGACGATCAGAGAGTTGAAGGAAGAAATGAAGGTTGGATTTTGGTAAACACTACTTCCAAGTTACCGGAAATCTGTAAATGATTGCTTCCCTATAGTGAAGAATCCCAACGCATTCTTTTGAACAACAACATTTATTTCTAGTTGTTGAGGTATGGTACATGGTTCAAGCAAGTGGTCCAGAAAATCATGATGTGATGACACAAAATCCACATCTTTTGTTTTGAACATCTGAACGGTTGCAAAATCTTGAGGTTTCAATGAGATATGACATGCCTTCCTTGCAGGCTTTCCACCGATGGGAGGACGAAATCACCAAGATTCTGGGTATTGTGGAAATCATCGTTGATGGAAAGAAATTGGATGATCTCAAGGCAAGCGCATCAGTCGCAATCCCAGACGGTGCCAAAGTGCAGGCTGGACCCCAAAAAAACAGTAGACACGTTTTTCATGTTATATTTGTTGTGAAGGCAAGTAGATTGGGAAACAAACATATATGATGACACTTGGTGCTGTAATATATTGTGCAAGGTCATGATTAGTTTATGACTCGCCGCTTAGTGCTCTCTCCTGTCCTCTCAGTCGATTTCGCAGCTTTATAGAATGTTGGGTTTGAGGCCTACCATGTTGTGTTTCCTCATGGGTTCATGTTGTTTGTTCCCACGTGTTGCATGAATTTCCGCGTAGGTCGTGTTCTACGTGAAGCCAGCAATTGAGTGTGTCAGCAGGTGGCACGCAGGCTGCGCAAGGCAAAAGTTGCGTGACGTACGTATCCCGGCCAAAACAGCAGCGCTGAACCCCTTTGCTTTTTCAAGGTGCTACCAATTATTGCGGATTGAACTGTCGGATGTTCTGACTGAAATTCCTATTCGTGCCTTTGATGGCTGCTGCGAATTGAGAGACGTTGCTATTCCCAGGTCAGTGAAGAAAATCAGAGATGAAGCCTTTGCTGGCTGCAACTCTTTGACAACATTGACCATCCCCTCTTCAGTGAAGGAAATTGGAGCGCGTGTTTTTAAGGCTTGCAGCTCTTTGACAGCTTTGAATCTAAAGGCGTCTCTGACTGAAATTCCGGCTTATGCCTTTGCCCGCTGCATTTGTTTGACAAATTTTACCATCCCCGAGTCAGTGCAAAGAATCGGAGAGGGTGCCTTTTCTGGCTGCAGCTCTTTGAAGAGTTTGACCATTCCAGAATCTGTGGTTGAAATCGGCAATCGTGCCTTTGATGACTGCAGCTCATTGACAAGGTTGGCAATCCCGGACTCTGTGAAATACATTGGAGGTGGTGCCTTTGCAGGCTGCAGTTCGTTGGACAGATTGACCATGCCCATGTCTTTGACCCAACTTGGGTATGACGCCTTTGCCGGCTGCCGCTCTCTGACGAATTTGAGCATACCCGGTTCTGTGACGTATATTGGGTGTACAGCGTTTGCTGGCTGCATTGCTTTGACGAGTTTGACCATTCCGGATTCTGTGAGGGAAATTGGGCCCTTTGCCTTTCGCGACTGCCGCTCTTTGACAAAGTTGACCATCCCGGCCTCAGTCAAAACGATCCGGCACGGTGCGTTCGATGGTTGCAGTGCCTTGACACATCTGCAGCTTCCAAAGTCTGAAGCCGATGAGCAAAGTGATGTGGCTCCATGTAAACGACGTCGCACATGAGGCACCAAAGACCACGTCGTGGAAGATGCAAAAATATGTTGGGTGTGGGTCGGAACTGAGAGCACCAGCATGGGATGTCTTACCATATGGTGAACCAAGTTGTGGCTGGGGGAACTCTGGCGTTTCACGGAGGGTAGAACACAATAAGGGCTGGTTGGTGGTTTGGAGCATGGCTTTTATTTTTTCATATTGGGAAAAATAACCCTAATATTTTTCAGAGGTGTTCAAACCACCAACCAGAGGGAGAAAATGCATTGCGTGGCTGATGATTTGTTCCAGTATCTTCCTATTTTTCTTGCCGTTGATTCTTCGCTGTTCCTTAACAGCGCAGCTCTTGCTGGAATCCCCAATAGTTGTGCATGTTTTGTTCCTTAAAAATCATTCATGTTTCATCATTTTTCCAATTTAATCACAGTGTTTTCCTATTAAAAGCCTGAACAAACACCATAAACCCAGTGTTTCCTGAAGAAATCACCAAGTTTTTCAATTCCTTCCTGCTATAAATCCACCCAGGCTTCAAGTCTGAGAACTTGCTGAGACAGCCAGGCGCTGGGACCGAAGTCCCGTGATCTACGGCTCCTGGTGCTTGGAAGGAGCGGGCCCCAGTCGAGTTGAGCTCCCGAGCTCGCGTTCAGTATATGGCTGTGGCTGTGGCTGAACTATGGTTGGTAGATATATAACGAACTGTTTTGGAAAAATAGTTCGTGAAATCATTGAAAATGGCTTGGAAATGTGGATTAACTATGGCTTATGGTAGATATAACTTAACTATAGTTAATGGGGATTATAATGGTTTATAAACCAACAAAAATGGTGATTTAATGGTGATTAACCCTCTGGTAATGGAATATTCATGGAAAATATGGTGGTTGATGATGTTTGTTGGTTTATAAACCATAGGAATAGTAGTATAGATATATCTACCATAAACCATCTGGTTGGTGGTTTGGAACATTATATTTAGATAATATAACGAACTAGATAACTCGTTGGTGCTTTGGAACATGAGTGGATAAATTATGACTTTCCATTCAGTTGGGAATGGAAAAATCATCCCGACTGACTTTCACTCCATGATTTTTCAGAGGGTAGGTATACCACCAACCAGCCATAGTAACCATAACCTGAATTAATTGTTGGGCCATTTGGGGATGATTTCCCTTTTTTATTCACCATAAACCATAGTTATTGGACTTATTTGGAGTTAACTATACTTTTCATGGGGCCCCCATAAACCAACGACCATAACCAACGACCGTTTTTCACTGGGGGGCCCCTCGATCGGGATTTATTTAAGCTGAATCACTGGGTTTCCATGTGTTTCCTAAGATTTCCTAAGGGAAAACTTTAGGGCCTTTCTTTTAAGGCTTTTACGTGCTGGTACCGAGTTGTAGAATATGTATTTATTTAACCAACATATCTGATGATCAGAGTTTATAATAGCTAGTTCATTAATGTTTATCAGGATAGAAATAAAACAAACACCTTCTGAGACTGTATTTGGGGATGGTTTTTGGGTTCCAAACACCTTCTCAGAAAGTATTTGGAGCACTAGGGAATATGTGTAATATATCTGATTTATTCTGATTTATTCAAAATGACATGTTCCTTTGCGGGGTAAACTAACGTAGATGTGGATTAGATGGATCAGAGTTTCCCATGGCTTTTGCCAAGAAAATAGATTACAGATGGTTGATATATGTTGATATGTATTGTAGAGCTAAGTACTTTAGATAATTGATGTTGTCATATATTATTTGTTATATCTATTGTGGATATATGGATATATCTATCATTATCTGTCCACACCGAAATTATGGACATGATTGGTAAATTGTAATAAATAAATAAATATATATATATATATACACGTGACTATTATTATGTGTATTATATATATATATATATTCTACTTATACTGTTGACTATATATGTGTATATCTAAACTATAGCTAAATCATTGCCTTATCTAAATGATAGTTGGGTTATTCAGATGTACAGAAATATGTGTGGATGAATGGTAATGACCTCACTGTGACCGCACCGGAATGATGGTGAAATACCCTCTGGATCCCTCTGGTTATGTCAAAGTAGCTATTGGAAATTGCTATTTATAGTTGATTTACCGATTGAAAATGGTGATTTTCCATAGCTATGTTAATTTACCAGAGGGTATGATAAATTATCTAGAATATTGTAGACTTGGATGTGAAGATATGTTTACAACAGACAGCACATTGATATATATATATATATTATACATATATACATGTAGAATATCCCTTCAAACATAGCCACATGATAGGAAAGTCACGATGATTGTCCGCTGGATTTTGGGATGCCCCAATCTCAGACAAAGTAATGGCATACGATAGATTAATCAATGGGAGTGTTCCTAATCGTTGTATAAAAGTGGTTAATCATTTATAGATATATATGTATATATACACACATATATACACCTACTGGGTATACATACACACATATATATATACACCTACTGGGCAAAATTATAGTATACTTACATGAACATGTAATAGTTGTTTTACATGTTACTTGTGGTTTTCTATGCAAGCAGCGAAATGGGTGGTTAAACCAGTGAAACTTGTTTTGTTTTTTTTGTAATGGGAATACAGTCGAACAAAAATAGAGAAAATAAACAACAAAAAGTATATGGGTGATGTCTGAAAATGATGTATACCCGTATACCCCTAAAATAGCAATTCTTTCCGGGGAAAATGAGGATACTTTTCCAGAATGTCGGGGTAGCCCATTTTCAGACACACCCATGGAGGGAAGGACATTTGCAGATCTACCAACTTGAACATCCCAGCGAGCCATGACAAAAATCGCCCGTTGATTGGTAAATTAATATGCATAAGTATTTATAAAATATGATGGAAACATACATGATGATCGTCTAGAATCATCTATATAGTGGATATGGGTAATGACCACTGTGGAGTATTGGAGTTACCCACTATGTTGATTGATTATTCTATGGATAACATCATAGAGGGGTCAGGTTTCTTATTAGTTTCCCACCTACAATACGCAATCAACTTTATATGGGTTATTATAAATGGTTGGTGGTTTCAAACATGGCTTTTATTTTCCATTTCATATATATGGGATGTCATCCTTCCCATTGACGAACTCATATTTTTCAAGATGGTTATTGCACCACCAACCAGATTATACATATATATATATATAGATATAGATTATATTAACCATATACTAACCATATATTAACCATCAATTAGTTACACTATCACCAAATTACAAGGACCCATCATGACTGGGTTATTATAAGGACTTATACCATGTGGTTATGACTGGGTGGTCAAGCTTAAGGACCTGACCACAGATGCGGGGTGACCGAGACCAAACTGTGTTAGGAAGTTTAATATTACCAACCATGGAAAATGCATGGAAAATACATGGAAAGTACATGGAAAAATGCATTGAAAATACATGAAAATACATGGAAATACATGGAACATCATTGTTTTAGTAAGTTTAATAATGGGAAACCTATCAACCAACCATGAAAATACTTTTGGAACTCTGGACACCCAGTTAAATACATTTTTGTTTGTTCTATCTTGGTAGTGAAGATGTCCTACATCAAATATTACGGAGAACACATTGGAAAACCACCCGTTGAGTCTCTGGTTGCAATTATTCCCAGTTCTGAAGATTATTCTCAAACAAATTGGGCGAAAAACAACAAACAAACAATTGTCTGGACCAGTTTTTTCCATTCAGAAGCATCTTTGCATCGCGGCTTCCTCATCCATGGATAGTGAATGATTGTGATATTTCCCACAGTTATGGCTCGTAAAACCGCCTTACCAGTTAAACAATAGGATTCTATTTCCAAGTGGTTGGATGTATATCACGAGGTTTTCTTAGGCAGATACAACTTTTTTTTGGGCGACAGCTGAGTTTTATCGTAGTTTATCCCAAAAAACATGAGTTCATCTTGTTTTTCTTATTCAAGGTAGTGACATTCCCCAATACATAGATGAGATGTAATAAGGTCATGTCTTAATAATTATACTTTTTTTAAATATGTCATAGACCATTTTAGATCAACTATCCCCAAATATAAATCCTCGTTGGTGGTTTCAAACATGGCTCTTAATTTCCATGTCATATATGGGATGTCATCCTTCCCATTGACGAACCCATATTTTTCAAGATGGTTAAAACCACCAACCAGAATCTATAATTTACTCAAGTGTTGTTTTTGTTGGACCATTTTGGACCCAAGTCGCTTCCGCGTTTCCGTTATTTTCATCGCAGGACGGGAAGCGTTGCTCTTGCCTATGGAGGCGATAGGGGAGGTGAATGGTGAGGCAACGCCTGGGAAAAAAGATAGGACAATGGTGATGGTTAATGATGGTTAATGATGATTCCCATGATTTTTGCAGCTGTTTTAACATGGTTTAACTGGTTTAACATGGTTTAACTGGTTTGACATGGTTTAACATGACTTAACATGATTTAACATGGTTTAACATGGTTTGACTTGGTTTAAATGCTTGTTTCTGATTTTTCGAAGGTTGGTTTAGACGTGACAAACGCGCCCTTCGCTTGGGGCGGGCTGTCTGTCCACTATCTCTAGCAGGGGATCATCCACGGGTTTCAGCATTGCCATATGGAGGTTTTCCAATCCATAGGGGGTAGGCCCAAGTTACCCTCTGGTAATGGATTAATTAATAGTGGGTTAATAGTGGGTCAAAAGTGGGATGAGATGATAATGGGTATATTCTCTGGTAAACTAACAGTTTGCTATTGAAAATGGCGATAGAAATAGTTGATTTACCCGTTCAAAATGGTGATTTTCCATTGATATGTAAACGTTTACCAGAGGGTATCAAATTTGAAAACGGATTGTCCATTAAATAAACCATCCATCGATACA